AGGTGGTTGAAGTTGTTGTTGATGAGGATGATGATGAGCCGGGGGAGAAGGTTGAGGTTTCGAAGGGGAGAGCTGTTGTTGACGAGAGAATTGAGAAGGATAGTTCGAAGAAAGATGCCCGTGAGGCTTTGCATAAAGCGGATGCACCTTACCGACCACTGGTTCCCTTCCCGAGCCGTTTGAAAGATACGAAGAATGAGCGTCAATTTCAAGATCTTTTCGACATGCTCTCAAAGGTAAACGTCAACCTCCCTCTCTTGGAGGTTATTCGAAATGTCCCGACATATGTGCAATTTTTCAAGGATTTGGCCTCCAAAAAGAGGAGATTCGGGAATAATGAGAAGGTGATGATTTCCGAGGTAGCATCGACTACCATACCTCGGAAAGAGTGTGACCCGGGAGCCTTTGTCATGAAGATTACATTCGGGAATGGGAAGATTACAACCGGGATGCTCGACTTGGGAGCCGGTATCAACCTCATGCCCTATTCTATCTATAAGCAATTGGGTTTGCAAGGGCTTAAGCCGACTCGGATGAGCCTCCAATTGGCGGACCACACCTTGCGAGAGCCAAAAGGTATAATCGAAGATGTGTTGGTCAAGGTTGGTTCGATTGTTGTTCCGGTCAATTTCTTAGTCCTCAACGTTGGAGATGTCCCAAATACCGGGAAGGAGCACACGATTTTGCTTGGTCAACCCTTTATGGCGACGACCAACACCATTATCGACGTCAAGGAGGGACGAGTTACTCTCTCGGCTCATAGGGAGATTGCTACTTTCACAATGAACAATGCCTGGGACGCTCCAACCAAAGTTAGCCAATGCTCGTTCGTGGAGGACTTCGGCAATGAGGTACATCTTGAATCTAACTCTAAATTTGTTAATGGAAATGGTTTTGTAGGTACAAATGATGTTTTGGAGTTGGGTAAGAATGTTAATGATGGTTTTGAGGATAAACTTGAAGTTGGAGTGAAAGGTGAGAAATTGAAAGATGGTGATGGAGTTAGTAATGATGTGAAACCGGGTAAGAAAGGGCTAGAAAGAAATCTAAATGTGGAGAGAAAAAGTTGGGAGATAGCCCACCGAGTTTGAATGATGATGAGAATGTCGGGGTTTGGAAGTTCACGAAAACCGGCATGAAATTTATGAGGGGTGAGGAGTTGAAGAAGAAGCCCCCGATATCCCCGAGGAGTAGGTGGGCGAATGTGTTTGGTGACGAGCTCGAGAATG